TTCTCTTAGTTTGCCAGCATTCCTTTGTCATGTTTGAACACAAACATAGAGGTAGAGGCAGGTATCAACATATCACATTTTATTAGGAGTCAGCAGACTTGAGAATATCAAAACAATGTTCTCTCTCAGAAGTACAAGCTTCGCACGCACACTCCCCATCACATCAAGATCAATACAAGCCACTGGCACACACCACCAGTGATCACACACAGTTCGAGCCCCCGATTCACACTCCTTTGTCAAGTAAGTGTGATCTCACATTTGCACAGCTCGCGGGATTATCAAACTGCAGGTTGTCTCGCAATTTCCGCACAGATTTTCGGTTATAACCCCGCATTTCACCGTGACCTTTCCTTCAAAACAAAGTTCCAACGGGGGTTCATGGCAATGCGGCTCAAGAGGTTCTACTTGTGGAAATATTTTTGTGTGGGATTTTAATTTGTGGTACCATATGTGTGAAACATTTAGTGAAATATGCATCGAAAATTACCGTAATGTTCCCTAATTTCATAATGCCTTGCTAACCCATAAATCCGCACAAGGTCCTCTGCTCCAGTACGCAAGGCGCCAACCGAGCTGTACGTAAGAGGTACTTCAGTAGAGGAAGAAAAAAACGCAAGCAGCGGAAAAAGACAGATTTGCCGTCGCGTCTTCCTTTCTATAACTTTCGGGAGAGTGCCCTTTTTGGGTGCTGTACTTTTTGCAAACAGCGGTGTTGTTTTTTGTAACATTGTTTTTTCGCCTAGAAAGAAGGAAAAATGGCCCATTCACGATGAGTGCCGCACAACCCAAAAGTGTTTACGCTTACGTTCGCAACATGCATTCAGCAGCAAAATCGTGCAACAGCCAATCATGTTCCGCGCATTGTATCATACGTGCCGCATCATCGCTTTTGGGAATGAACCAGCGGCCATGCTGTTTTGACCATAAGCAGAAAACAGCCTGATATATTACGGCGATCGTATGCCGTTTCTGTGACATCATCATTGCGGAGGCAACTTTGAAATAAGCTCCAAATAAATCTTTTCACATTTTTACGTGCGCGTAACTCAAGATCCAGATAGTTTTGTGTCGTAGAAAGGACATGACCGTGAACTGCATCACAAGGTCCTCAGGATGGCTATTTTAGTTCAAAACGCCATACAAATGTGGAACACTCCCTTTAAGTACTTTCCGTTGAGGGACTGAGCCCTTCTAATGCCGAAATACCCCCCCCCCCCCCGCCCCCGTTCTATGCATACGAGAAACATATATAAATGTTTGGGGCAATGTAACACAGGAAATATTCCCATGACTGTTTGCATACCAGAAACTTAAACGCAGCACCATTGGCACCATTTTTATTTTGTTTCATGTGATACCCCGTGCGTACCAATTTCCTTATTCTCTCCCGCTTTGCATTGCAGTCTCTTCTATGGGAGCTGCAATACCCGGGTGGTTGATTCGCGCGTTTGAGGCTGCGAAATTTAGTCCTCATGCTGTGTCATGTAGTACTATTTAGTCTAATGTTGCTATTGCACCATTTAAATGGAAAATCATTGTCCTTCATGAAGAACTCGGCCTGCTTGGTCTCGCCAGTACAAAGCATGTGCCCAACACCTTGCACACAAATGATCGGCTTCAATGTGGTGAGCCTGCTCACCAACGTACCAAGGCATGGCGCCTTAACTGTTATATAGATATAACTGATCAGACTGCAGAACGAAAACTTAAGTGTTATACAGAACAGGTTGACTCGTGGAAAGAACAGGCATTCCGCTCGACAACAGCATGGAGCTGCTCGCGTTCTGTATCACTACAGCCGAGTTCCAGCTGAATGAAAAACGACATAAGCAAAGCAACCGAATATCCATGGGACCACCTCTGCCATCGATGGAACATTTAGAAAACATGGCGATAGAAAATGCGCCACTGAAGCCTTCAGTATGGCTGCGCTACGGTGTGACGTGCCCTGAACTAACGAAGATGAAAACAAGCATTTCCATACAGCACGCAAGACATAGAAATGATCCCCAGACCTCTCACGAGCAGGCTGACAGTAAAGTTCTGCAACAGACCCGATCGGCATGTCCAGGGTATTCGGTTCAGGGTACAAACAGCAAGATTGACTAAGCAAATGCCCTGAATCCAAAACCAACCATGCAAACCATTCGAAATTCATGTTAAGAGGGCGAGATATAGGGGCGGAAAATATCGCGGTCAGCCTCGACGTAGCGGAAAGGAGTCACTGGTAACAGTTGTGCTTGAGGACATACCAAGTCCCACGTTGACAAGGCATTCGGAGCAGCTGGTCGACATGTGGATATCGTCAACCCAGCGAAATACCCGCTGGAAAGAGACCAATGCTACTGTAACTAATGTAATGTTTGTAACAACACCATGCCTAGCGTGTATTTGTCTTCCTGTTTCGTGTTCGACCTGTCAATCCTGACCTGTCAATTACTTCTATAGCGTTGTGTCAATCTGTGCTTGAGCCAATTTCCACGATCCAGAGCAAGGCTATCTAACGTAATCCAAAGTAAGAAATCTGGTAGAGTTTAGCACCCATGCTTTCTGTTCCCAGGTATCTCCTGTGAACAAAAGTTATCGCCGTGCTTGAGTTAGATGACGTGCTTAAATATGAACCTTTCTCATTCGGTATCACGTACTATTTGACTATGTCCAATATCATTGCGGAATTGCCCACACGGTACACACCTGCTCCTCAGCGAATTGTTGTTTTTATATTTTGGACATTGCGACTTGCAAGGTTTTGTAATCGTTAATCGGCGAGTTGCAATTGTGACTGTGAAAGGGCATAATTTTGCTGTGAACCGGGAGGAGGGTGCGATAGGAAAACTTTAGTAATTTAACTGGGTTTGGAGCCAAAAGTAGGCTGTAGGCCCGAAACAGTCCCAATATGCTATCCTTACCTTGGTGTTACGCACGGTTCTATGTGTCGGGGTGCTATGGGACCTGCACTCCTGATCAGCTGAGTCATGGGTGCTAACGTGCGGTGCTGCGCGCCGCAGAGGATTTAACCTGGCACTCCCGGTCACCCGCTCATGAACTTTGGGTACCTGGAAAACGTGCGTTGGTATAAACTAGTTTTCCGCCTTTGCGAAAACCCAGCCGATCAGGGAGTTATCTATGCGGTGAATGACGCCGCCGCAAATGCCCGGGTCAGCGAAAATGTCTTTGCCTGACGCGTGCGGGACGAAGGACTCCCAACATCGCGCAATGTCACGCGTGCTTTGATGGTAACGCCGACACTTGAATTGACCAGCTGTCGCATAAAGACATGACATCGATTCTGCCACATCAGTGAAATGGTTCGGTATTTGCACTTATCACCATCGTAGGTGTTTTCACACACGTTCCCGTGCAAGGTCACGGAACAACGCGAGACACCAGTTTGCGCCTGCAACCACACGGCGCCGGCCGTCCGCCAGGCGGCCGGCGGCCGTGTGAACCACTGCCAAGGTTTAGTGCGAATGCACTTGACCCAGATGAGGCGTGACCGCGGCGCGGTGGCGGAGGTGCACCCGTCCCGACCCCAGTCACGGCTGCGGGCCGCGGGAGCGCAGCGAGCCGCGACCGCCGCCTGGGCAGAGGCCAGGCCTGCGCACCGGCGGCCGGAAGCGGTGCCTGCCGACCGGACAGCGCGTGGGCTCCAGCGCGCGCGAGACATGTTTGGGTGTATGGTGCAAGCTGCTGGCCGACGACAGGCAGGCCTCAGGCGTCAGGATGCCGGCTGAAAGCTTGGCCTGACCGGAAGGCCGTAACTCGCTCACACTTGACACGGCTCTCGGTACAACCACCACTGTCACAAGAAGTGATTACAATTCGTTTTCATGCTCAACTGTTGGGCTTCTTAATCACGACACAAGGGAGCTTTTTCATTTGCGCACCAATGTGGGTAAATAGAGTGAGAGGGGAGAACACGGTCTCCATTTGGTCCCAAAAGGAGCTAAAGCCCTGTAACAAAACCCGTTGGATACCTTGATGTCTATGAAAGTCAGTGATGTTCAGTCTGGCTGCTTCAGATCCGCCGGTGAGTTAAAGGTCAAGCAAGTCTTATGCTTGAGACAAGAAATTGAAGAATTTGGTTTGTTAAGTTGGAAGGTCAGCATTGTTCCAGGGAAATATTCACGACACACATGACGCCATCAGGGGAAAAAATCCTAAAAAGCTAGTGTGGCAAAACTGCACGACCGAGCAACTTTCGATGGTAGTACAATAACACAGCGCTTGTTTTGAACGAATTTGTGCTGTGGTTACCACATCTGCCTTGGGTCATTTTCCACAGATGGACGTCCTAGCGTAGTGACCCAGCATGACTTGAGACAATGGTTTTTTCCCCAAAATTGCAGTGCATTTATGAACTGTGCCAAATTTCCAGATGTTGTCTTTTGCCATTTGTCCACGCCCCCAGACAGCTTGTTTGGGACATGAACCATTTCGACCAGCAAGGCTTAAATGCACACTTTTGCATACCAAACCTCTTAATAATACTTCGCGCCCGCAAATTATGCGACGAGATGCCTTGCCTCGGAATGCAAGGCCATCCTGCTTCCCCAGATTCAGACGACCGTAGTTCACAACGGTCGGGAAAGTGACAATCAGTGGAATAAGCTCTCAATCTCCTCGCGAGGGACCACTACAGCCCGTACCCTCCCGGACTCCCGCAGGGCTAGGGAGGGTCCGACACCTTTGAGCACCACGCGATGTCCCAGCCGCTTATCAGCCGTGCCGTTCACCATTAACCTAGCCGACACGGCGCTAGTCCACTTCCGGCCGCAGACGGAGGTCGCGCGCCGCCACTTAACGATTGCTTCCAGCCCGCTGCACCATCCCCGCCGGCGCCAGTAGGGCCTTGGGCCGGGCGGCCGGAACTGCAGCCATCCGCGACCCGTCAGGGCCGCCGCACGACTTGAACCGCCGTCGGAAGCGGCAGCGCAGTTGGCGGCGATCCGACGCCGGCAGCGCTTCAGTGCCTCGCGGACGTGCGGCCCCCGCCGGCCTCGTCTCCCGTGCCGCGTGACAGACAGTCTTGACACCGGAGGGCACCCCGACACGTGAGTACCGCCTGTGCACGCCTCTCCAGAATTTGTCAGCCCGTCCTGCTGGTGACGCGCGTCGACTTCGACGACTCGTGCACGACGACTCGTGCACGTGATCGCTGAAAATGGACACACCGATCTTCGTCTTAAAGCCGCTGAAAAGCATTTACGTGCATCAATACTCCATAAATGCATTTAAAACGTCCAGCATGTCCCGTGATGTAGGTCTATGGAACGAAGGTCTTCGTTGACGAATTTCGTGGGGTAGGAATATGAGGATCAAGGGTAGAAGCCAAGAAATGTTGTAACTTTGGCCATCTTTAATTAATTTTTAGCCATGGAGCCTGGGGAACCCACTGAAGTGCATTTCATAGAACGCTTGTAATATCAGCTCTTCGAACTGGGAAACCTCTCTCTCTCTCTCTCTCTCTCTCTCTCTCTCTCTCTCTCTCTCTCTCTCTCTCTCTCTCTCTCTCTCTCTCTCTCTCTCTCTTCCTCTCTCTTTCAGCTCTCCGCTTTTCAAAAGTCGTGAGAATAATTATATAATTCTAAACAATGCCGGTAAAAGTTGAATTACCATCACGAATACTATCAGTTTGAAAAAGACCAAGTTGAGCTCTGGTCGCAAACCGATCGCATAAAACTCATAAATTGTCGGGAGTGCGAAGGATGATTTTACCCCACACTGTATTTTACGTATTGCGTTTGCACAACACGCTTGTTTAACCGGCGACGTTCCCCCCATACCTTGTGATACACACGAGTACTTCAGAAAAGTTGGCGAGTTGGCTGAGATGGGATAAAGATGGGATTTTGATGGAGACAGGATCGGGCTAGACAGGAATGGCCGGGGACAGACATGGGGTAAGAAAATATCAGTCAAAAGCTCATCGGCCACTGACGCGCCAAGCTCACCGGCGGAGCTCACATGGAAACCGCAAGCTGTGGAGACTATCAAATGCGCTGCAGACTGTTGTCAAGGGCAGTTTTACCAGGCGCTTGGTTTCCCGGCAGAATCTGGATACGTAATCAAAGCAGATTATGCTACAAAGCAGATTACGCTACTAATAGCCTCTGTTTTGAGCCTTTATCCGATGGCGGAGCTTAAAAGAAAATACAGACATGTTATCACTATTATATATATATATATATATATATATATATATGCATATCACATTATTATTCTTACAGACATATCAGCAAAACAATATTTGTAATGATGTCGATGACTCACGAAAATGCTGTACAGTGTCTGTTTAAACTGTATATGCATAACGCTCCTCAATAATGACACACCACCTCGCCTCGGCTTTCTTTCCATGTCAGGCCTCGGCGATGCTGTTTCAATGTGTTCGTGCCATAATTTCCGTTCATCATACCTGTTGCGTCCGTAGATAAAAAACAATGGTGCGTTCGTGATCGCTGCATGGCTTGCTTTATGCTAAAGCGCAGTCAGTAGGCACCCATGCAGTATGCTGAAACATGCACAAATTTAACGCTCTACATTTCCATCCCATATACACATATCTACATGCGCTATCAATTTTGCACCGAGCAAACACTGCCCACAGCAAAGCTTTAACCCCTTTTCCAGTTTTGCCTACCCAAATACCCACTGTTGCGGTCGCACACCTAGGCACAAACGTACATTCATTTTATAGTCCGCCCTGGCTCCTCCAGGCTGGCGTTCATACGCACGCCGTATCGGTGTTAACACCATATAAGTGGAGACCCGGACGCACTCTGCCACAAACACACGTCAGGCATATGAGAGCTCAGTGCTGAACTCGGTGAAAATGCTTCAAACTACTTTTTGAAAATTTAGTGGAAGGAGGCATCCAAGGAGAAAATCAAAACTTTGATTTTTTGGGTGGAGAGGCAAGCGTTTGCCTACCCCTTCGCTGGACCAGTACAATCGTAGCCAAATTGTCATATCCTGCTCTTAAGTTTCCGTGATCCAAACTATAGAAGTGTGTGCTGCGCCCTGACGTTGGTCAAGCGTCTGCCACTGTGATTACAGAATGCAGCCAGTTACATGCTCCAACCATGCCCTGACAATTTATAGTTCGTATCGGTGCAGTTAGCTACTCACATACCGGAATAAATAAAAATGTACAAAGCAAACATGCTCTCACAATTCTCTAATACTTCTTTCTGGTTTTGCCGTTTCTTACCGGGGAGACTCATCACCGAAGTGAGCATCCGTTTTCTGCACATCCATAGTGGAGCTTGCGGAGCAGCTTCCTCTGAGCTCGCTGATGCTGTCAGGTGCCTCTCTCCAGGATCTGCTGTCTGCTCCCCGCTCACAAAATTGCATCGGCTTTAAAAGGTGAAAGCTGACATGTATGAGACCTATAAAAAGCAAGTGATAGTTTCTTGGAGCTTGCTGGCCAAACGCACAAGACCGTGTATCAAACAGAACAAACAGGAGCAAACTTGAGCGCACCTCACCCATACAATAACAGCCAAACGGCAGTAAACTAAAGCGCACCTCACCCATACAATAACAGCCAAACAGCAGTAAACTTAAGTGCGCCCCACCCATACAATAACAGCCAAACAGCAGTAAACTTAAGCGCACCTCACCCATATAATAACAGCCAAACAGCAGTAAACTTAAGCGCGCCTCACCCATACAATAACAGCCAAACGCAGTATCACCAGCACCGGATCGCTGTTTTTGTACAACGGACCCGCATGGATACTGGTCAAGGAAACCAGGTCAAGCTTGATAATCTGGGTAGTGATTATATACTGAAATGTCATGTCATGTCAATGAAGTCATATTCCCAATGTGGCATGTCCGGTTTATCGTTGCCCGTTCGAAGTGTGTAGCTGACATGGTTTGAAGGGGGAAATGTGGCGTGCAAACTCCAGCAATGGTGCGCGATGCTCAAAATACGCAACTCTAGGTCAAGCTAGGTTAGCGAACTATGATAATCTTTGACGTCAAAACGTCCATCACAAGTGATGTTAGTTGATAAGTAAATACAAACGACATAATACTTTGCGGGAGTGGATGCTTCCAGGGCTGGGAGCACGAGACCAAGTTGGTTCAGTGACCTACGGTGACCACAGCCTGTCATTGGAGGGCGGGCGAGCAACCTTATTTGGTGAACAAACCAGGAGGACCACAGAAAGGACACATCACAACGCATCGCTGGAATGCATCGGGCTCATTCATGTTTTGGACAGATGTGCCTTGACTTAAACTGCGCTAGTTTAGCGACATGGCATGGCCGAGTAACAATTACGGAATTTACGTGAAATGAATGAAAGAAAAGATGCTAAAAACTTCCGGAAGGTAGTTCAAGCCTTTCTGCAGCCATTCCAGAAAAGGTGATGGGTGGATGCTCCCCTCCCCGTCAGTGCGAGGGTTAGGGCTGAAGGAAGCTTTGTCCCCGACTGATCATGGTCAATTAACTTAAATAAATGAATCATAAGCAAATGTTTGTCTTTGATACATCACCTGAGGCCGTGTCCAATACGTAGGATATTTTCAAGATCATTTTTGCGTTCAAAGGACGATCTATCAGTGTCCGGTGGCCTCCCCCCGGCACCAACCGGATCGCTTGGACCACCCAGTGAGTGACCTGAGTGCTCTGGCCACCGCGTCGACAGGTCACCACGGACCGGCCAGTGAGTGACCTGAGTGTTCTGGCCACCGCGTCGGCAGGCCACCATGAAGGGCTGGTTTGACGCATTCCGAACGGACGGCGGGCCGACGCTGTATCACCATAGCAACAGGACAGCCGTGCACGGCGACGCCGCAGTCATCCTCATCTCGGTCATCTTCGTCACAGTGCTGGTGGCTTTCTTGCTCATCTTCCCCGGCGTTCGTAGTCAGGTCAGTGACCCAGATACCATGCTCTCCATGGTATCTACAGAGAATATTGTAGGCGGTGAGTACCGTTCCGGCGACGCAGGGCCTGAATAAGGTGCGCTGGATGTTACACTGATGCTAACTTTTCATGCCCGGTATTTTCTCGCTAATTAATGCCAGTGCGCGAGGCATGCTGTGTAAAAATAATCTTGATGTAATTTTAGCACGTTGCTTGCGTCTGCTTTTGTTCATCCGTTCAAGATCTTAATATTTGTTTCAATGGGAAAGTTCGTCGCTGTGGCGTGTTCAAATTGGCTTGGCAGAGCATAGTGCCCTGTCATGCACTTCCATTACGTTTGACCTGCGTTTTGGGCATAATTTCAGAGGCTGTCGACGTTTGTCTGTGTCACTCTGAGTCTCTTCACCGGCTTGGCCATCACCCGTGAGTTGTTATAGATACACATCGTTTCTTCTCTTGTGTTGTGCAATGGACATCACGAAGGTTCCATGCGGTTTATATTTCATATTCCCATATTCACCTCATGTAGTTTCATACGGCTAATATGCGAGGACCGACGAGGTATCTGGAACGGTAGGGCCCAAAAAAACGGTACATGATGCAGACACGCAAGTTTTCCGAAACGGCTCGTCCGATTGCCTGGAAACCTTCACCAATCGATTCCGTGCAATGAGGTGAGTCATGGGGGGGGGGCAATGTCGAGACCTGACCTGAGGTCTAACACCTCGAAAACGCGGAGGCAAAATTTTACAGTCAAATGCAGATAGCTCAGATCTTGGAGCCTACTGGGCCAATCACTGTGAAAACTTCACCATTGGATGCTCCATGCCTGGTTCCCTGTTGCAGTTCCAAATTTCGTGACCCTAGGTCAAGTTAAAAGTTGTCAAGTTTCGCGGAGATGTTGTGCTGAAAATCACGCGTTGCATTGTGCATGGTGTCGCAGAAGCTTACCGCACTCGATTACAGACTCGAAGGACTCGAAGTACTTACCGGACTCGAAGTACGATTAGCACTTCCGTTAAGGAGAATTTCAACCTCATAAGATCAGCCTAGCCAAGCTGCACTTTTTCTTAAGTGCCAACACAAAGCAAAAGGCATGATTACAAGTGGCACCATGCCTGCAGCTGCAACAGACAGTTAGGGTAAATGGCGTACCGAATGGTAAGGTTTAGCAGCTATTGGCGTGGCAGATTCTGAGCTATAAGTTGTCTTCCAGGAGTAATTTTTGACGTTGTGAACTTTGACGACTTTTGACCTGACCTAGGATCACCAAATTTGGAACTGCAACGGAGAATCAAGTATGGGACATCCAATGGTGGAGGTTTCACAGTCATCGGTCCAGTAGGCTCTAATATCTGAGTTGTCTGCATCTGCATGCAAAATCTTCCCTTCGCGTTTTCGAGGTGTGCGACCCCAGGTCAGGTCTCGATGTTGTCTCCCCATGACCCACCTGACTGTACGGAATCGATTGGTAAAGGTTTCAAGGTGATCGGACAAGCCGTTATTCGTCGGAAGATGCTTTCTGATAAGGAGGGCTTCAGGAATTTTGCTGTCAATTCTATCCTTGCACCTGCGCAAAATGCCGGTGTGCAGATATTTGTTGAGCGGTGCGTTTGGGTGACACAGATGTTCATTGAAACGTATGTGCACACTTCTTTTCGTTTCGCCAATGTAAGTTTGCTGAGAACAAGCCACATAAGGTCCGATTAACAACGTTCTTGGTTGTACGGTTTTCTAGTCCGGCTAAGGCACCGGGCCGCCGGCGCCCTCTATATTTGGCAGGTGGCGCTCGCGTCGCACTCGTGCTCAGTATTTCCAGCGCGTGGCGCCCGCGACGACCTCAGACAATGTTCGTTGCACGGTTCTATCGTGAATGAACCATTAACTGGGGACGATGTCGTGAGCTGTTATGAGTTTGGTGTGACCACAAGTGATAAGCTGTGTTGGCGCGGCTCGGCCTCGGCCCCAGACAGATGTAGTCCTGCTCTGAAGCCCAGGCATGAAACACCCTGAAACGTCATCCCGGTGCCCTCTCCCTTAACAAGGCTATGTCTACGACCCTGTACTTCAGGGTGGAAGCCCATCTTACCATTTATTTTGCATAAATGCGGCTTACGTTATGAAAGGCAGTGTTCTGAATTGCATAAGTTAATTGACCACGAGTGCCCTTCTTATAGTTATTTTCCTTACCTGGTCGAAAACAACAAAACAAACACTAGTATTATTTTGAAGCTAGGAATATTTTATAAAATCTGAGTAGTTTAATGTGTAAAAGACTGCTTCATAATCGTTACATCTGATCAGACTGTCAATTCAGCGCAACGAAGTAGAAGCTGTACAATGTGCCATGACAAGACTGGCTGTACTGTGCGAAGTACTGTCTGGCGCAGTGCATCATGACAGTCTCGTAAGACGGAGCATGTGAGTCCACACCATACGTATTTCATGTGAGGAACAGCCTGCGTATGTGATTTGGGTACGTCTGTAATGCAGATTGATTAGCCAAGTAGGAATATTTTGTGGTCTTTTCAGCTATTTTGGAAAATGGAGCAACCGAATCTGAATTTGTTTGGTGGGAGCTGCCCCCCTCTCGATCGCAATGGTACTCCCTGAAGAGGGTGTTCCGACGCTCCTGGCTGGGTTCGTCTTCCTGGCTCGAATCTCCGGATCCGCTCCTGGGCAATACAATGTCTTCGTTCACCCTGTGTGCTGTGTCTGGGTGGCGGTTACCCAGCATAAGCGTCTCATTGGCTCCTCGTTTTTCAACATTCGACGCGGGAGTCCATAGTACTCCCTGTTTTGACTCTGCGCATGGGGCTCCCTATGAACTTATCCTGGGCCTCAGTTTCCTCTTGCTGCCTACAGTTGGCGCCACCGGCTCGAGCTGGCAGTCCGGCTCTGTGGACATCACTTCTTTCTACCGCGCCTTCTCTTCGGAACGGCTGCAGGCCAGCCTTGGAGCTCACATCGGTCTCAACCACGTCAACATTACACTCACTGGTGAGAGATCGGACTTGTGAAGTTCACGGGTGAGAGATCGGACTCGTGAGGTTCCCTGGTGAGAGATTGAACTCGTGAGGTTCCCTGGTGAGAGATCAAACTCGTGAGGCTCACGTGTGAGAGATCGGACTGGTGAGTTTTAAAGGTGGGGCGATAATACGTAATACATGGTGTATTCATTCATTGATTGAATCATTCATCGATTGACACGACTCATGAGCCGTATCACTGAAAGCGCTTGCAGCTGTTCAGGCGAACCGTTCTTAGTACCCGACATGAAATGCGTCTCTTCATATAGGTTGAATTACCTACATAAAAGCGCCGTTTCATCCCTGGTTCTGAGTGCCCGGCCAATAGCAATCCTCAGTTTTGTGGGTGTCACTTGATTACCATAAGACCTAGCAAGGTTGAGGTTTATAGCGGTGAAAATACGATTACTTTCCTTCCATATATATGTATACGCGCACAGCCGCGGGGCCTCCTCTCGGCGACGGTGTGCGGGCCCTCTGCCGACGTACATACAGCTCTACAGCAGCGCCTCACTTTCAGCGCTGCGTTCAGCTCAGGACCATGGCGACGTGGCCTTCAACGAGCGCTTCCGCTGGGGGAAGCCCATGCAGATGCGCGACGAGTACCGAGCGGCGCTGGTCAAAGGTACGGCCGGCACCATCTCCCCGGTACTGTCAGTGACGCATGTGTACACAGGCGCATTGGCTCACCAGGTGGCCATTGCCTTTTTGCATGTAGTTACACTGCTTAAGCGTTAATGCCACTAAAAGGTCGGAGAAACTCTCTAAGCATTCGCGGGCGGATAAAGTTCCGAACTAGCGCACACAGGCTCGTACTGTATCGTCGCACTACGGCTGGATAAATAATCCTGAAACGTGACGGTGCATTCAGAGAAGCCAAGTCACTCAGTGAAGTCCGATGGACATCAGATCTGTTGGGCTGCTGGCGACTGTTTGCTGATGGCCATTGATTTGTTCGAATGCTTCGTTTATGCCGCGCGTTTGAGCTACTGTATTCCGCGAGGTGTGTGGTGTTCCCAGAGGATTTCTCGCGAGCAGGACCACAGATGTTCTAAACAAAGTGGTTGCAGTGAGAGACAAATGAATAAGAGGTGCTATCTCACTCTGGTCCGGGTATTGATGAGCTTTTGAGAGTGAGTAAGTTAAGAGATTGGCTCCACGAAAATTTGTCCGATTTGTTTTTGCTTGTCGAAAGGCCTCCCGCCCCGAAGTATTTTTGAAACCAAAAATGTTACTGAAAATGTGGCAAGCTGTGAAAATGTGAAATAACAAAGCAATTCCTGCATTTACAACGTTTTTCAGCCGACTTTGACGCAAAGCTATCGCCCAAAATGACGACATATTGCAGAGGACCTTTACAGTATGCGATAAGCGCTGCCATATTTAGAAATAGCATTTCTCTGGGACAGAAACGACAGACTTATGCTAAAGGCACACCTTTATAGACGTCTGACAGCGTGATGAGCGGGCTACTGCTAAAATATGGCAAAAAGGCGTCCACAAAACATGCCAACACTTTCTATGCAGTCATCTTTTTTATCTACATGAGCGTCTGGTTTCTGTTGGCAAACCTGACATAGGGGCTGCTTCTGCCAGCATATCTGCAACCCTCGCGCTTCGGGTGTCTTATCACCCCAGTCTTCTTGAGGGCCAAGAGTCCGCCCTCCCCCCACGATCGTAAAATTAGATAAGCCAAAGCCATTCAGAAACTGTGCAGGACTTGTTTTTGAAAAAGCTTAGGAAACTCAGTAGCCCTTTCTTAAGTTGAGGGTTAAAGCGTTGCAAGCTGAGCATGAAGATGGCCAAAAATCTGCTGTCCGGGAGCATTTTTCGCAATTCATTTTATCGATGTATCAAGACTAATGTGTGCTGCGTTCCAGAGGAATTCAGACTGATCGCATTCAGAATGAACGCATTCAGACTGATTTTCTAACTCAGTGATCAGTATCGACAAAGTGACAGTCGGTTCAGGGCAGCACATTTCATAAGTTCGTCGCTCGCTCGGCGTTTGTCACGTTATTGATTCAATCGTCTGTGTGAAGAAGCATCGCCATATGCCACGGCCGGTACTTCCATCACGGACTTTTTTCGTCTGTGGGCTAGGTCTGCCGTACCCGATACTGACGGTGGCCGAGTACCTGAGCGCCAACTCCGAGGGTTTTGCTTGGGGCCGGAGGTTGAAATCAGCCGGCTACTACACCAGCATCGTCATCTGGTAATGACAGCACGCCGCGCGCTGAGGGAGCTGCCGCAGCTAACGTCCCCACCCGCCGATGTCACTATCTCTGATAGTTTACTGTTGTATGGTAGAAAAAACACTTTTTCATGCTCACGGTGGCGTTTTTGCAACGTATTCATGCGGTTCGTCCGGAACTCATACGCGCCTAAAGGTTTCAAATTAGCGGCGCGTGCGGAGCGTATTTCTTGAAATTTTTACATTGGATATCCACGAAGCGCTCCTAAAGCCATTTTCACCTCCTTGACAACCTGGCTGGGTGAGCTGAAGACGGGTCCGTACGACCCGCTGTGGCCGCTCCAGTCTGGTGTGTGCATCACGCGTGTCTCTTTCGTGAGACCCTTCCCAATTTGTCGTTCATCAACACACCGAGCGCCAACGTGGCGTGAACTCTGCGGAGCCCATTCCCGCCCGCTGAGCGGCCGCCGTCCTCCGGCAGGACGGCGTTCGCCAGCTGGCTGCTGACGAACCTGCTGCTGCTGACCGTGCCCCGCTACGGCGCCTACCTGATGGTGGTCACCGGCGGCCTGATGTGCTTAGCGTGCGGCTTGTACTCGGCGCTGCAGTCGGGCCCGCCGCTGGCCGTGAGGCTGGAGAGCGCCACGCTGCGGCTGACGCCCGGCTGGCAGCTCCACCTGGTGCTGCTGTCAGATGCGGTCCCCGGCGGGGCCTCCCCGGCGCGGCGCGGGCCGCCCGCTCGGGGGCGGCTCCGGCGCTGTTCTCCCCGTCGGCAGGTCACTCCTGGGCTCGGTGGCCGCCGTGGTCACACGCACCGGGCAGCGTAGTGACGCGTGTGTCTTGGAGCCGCCACATGGTCCGACTACAGCATTCGAGTAGATATGTTGAAGCGAATTCAAAGCGGTGTGGCGTCAGGGTGTGTGCTCGTTTACATGAGCAACCCGTCATGCATACGAAGCCGCCTGGACGGGCTGCTGAATTATCTGGGTTTCGGTCATCTCAGTGGCATTTTCACTGGACCTGTGTGGTTTCAGGAATACTCTGCATGCTAACAGCCGAGAAGACGTTTGCATTGGACCGCTGTGGTTTCAGGAATTATGTACATGTTGGTCGGTCTGGTGGCGTCCATCCTGGACCTGGTGCATCCACACACCTTCTCCACCATTCTGGAGGTGGACTTTGGCACGCCATATGATCGGCACATGCTTATCGTGGAGTCGGACGAGTCCCGCAAGCGCCCAACGCTCAAGATCCCCAAGCTGGAAGAGCCCATAACGGCGGGCATTGAAGCCACAACGAAACTCATTCGGTAAGCTTTACCCCGTGCATGCCTTGCTGTAGGGAGATTTATACATTTTCTGTGGCTAGGCGTTCGCCCACCGAACTTGGTACGAAAAATATATTTCATCGTTTCGAAAAGTGAAAGAAGCTTGAAACAAATTATTTTTCCAATCATGTACACATCACTTGCTTTCCTCTCGCATCGCTAATTTTCTTGCATGAAAGCACACATGCGATCCTGTTCCAGGCGTTTGTCGAAACGAAGCAGAGAGGACAGCAGCACAGACCCACGCGGCGGCGCCGACAACGTGGCGTTCGAGATGGAAACGCCCACGGTGCCCCTGCACAGGCAGTCTCCGAGTCGGCGCGGCTCCAAGCAGTCGGGCCGCTCCGCCGGCTCACGGCGCGGCTCGCGCCACCTGGACGTGCCACAGCTAAGCGTGGATCTGCCGGCCGTGCCTGCGCGGCGGCCGCTGGAGCGCACCGACTCACGACACTCGCAAGGCTCCAGCCTCTCGGCCAGCTCGGTGTCGCGCTCCTCCCTGCCGGACGGCGAGCAGCACAGCTTCCAGGAGCAGTTCAAGCGCATCCGGCGCGCCGAGTCACCGCGGCGCGACTCGAGTCAGTCGGGCGACTCGAACGCCTCGTCCGGCTGCAGCTTGTTTCGCAGCGAGCTGACGCGCGGCGGCAGCCTGCATGTGCCGGTGCCGGTGACGAGCTGTCCGTCGGGCAGCGACGCCCTCCACCCTCCGCTCGAAAAGCGGGACTCCCGCGCCTCCAACATCATCGTCTTTCACACGCAGGACGCACGCGGACAGCTGACCAGGTACGGCGGCCGGCTGTCGCGCAGGCCACTCGGCCAGCCCTCAGGTGCGCAGTGTGTGTGTGTGTGTGTGTGTGTGTGTGTGTGTGTGTGTGTGTGTGTGTGTGTGTGTGTGTGTGTGTGTGTGTGTGTGTGGTGTGTGTGGTGTGTGTGTGTGTGGTGTGTGTGTGTGTGTGTGTGTGTGTGTGTTTGTGTGTGTGCGTGTGTGCGTGTGCGCGCGTGCGTCTGCGTGCGCTCTCCCCACGCGAAAACTCACAACTCACTAAACGACAACAAATTCTAGATTCTAAACGGTGCACGTGATGACACGATAGAAAAGGAAACACGTTAACACGTCTCGCAAGGTGACGGAAAAAATGCATCACAGCTCTTTTAATGCTGCAATAGCGAAGGATTACTATGCGTTCTCGTGAAGTCATGTCAGGTACATGTACAGCTTGTTCAAAATATTTTGTAACGTCGTTCCCGTCACTTTTCAGGCGTCAGTCAAGTGATCGAGCTTCGATTGAGATGTAGACGGCGAGCAGAGGAGAGTTGGGTTTCTCCAAGTCTAGTACCGGAATCGCTGCGAACGCTCATAGCCATGCCTGCAACCTGCTTATACATTCTCTTTACTTGTTAGTGGCGCAGGATATTTAAATATCAACACAGGTGCTTTCAAGTTACTTAACATATTAATGCGCTTTGTAGAGGCACCTAGTGCAGAGAGCTCAACAAGCATATATGAGAGGAGGACTGTTTTTTTAGCTTGCAGCGCTGATCAATCAAAGTTAAGGGATTGTGGTGAGATGAACAGGTGCTAACGGAATGATCTGTGCTGGAGCTGGTGTAAATATAATAAAACATGCAAAGAGTGACCGCATGTTTAAAAGAAACATTTAACACTGAAAGCAGAATAGCTTGGGATGCAGCAAGGCATCAAATGGGTTCATTACGGAAAATTTATCCGATTTTGTATTTGTTTTGCCGAAAGGCATAAACATTAGTCGTAGATGCTTACGTTGTCACCTTCCCACCTCCCAGGCAGGCGGTTCGCGCATCCGGCTTGTGATACGACTACCGTCACGCAATGCTGCATCCACAACCGTAGATGTCATGCTTGTGTCGTCACAAATAACTGCATCATTTCCATCGCGTGACCACGAATGAATCGTGCGTGCTGGGGCATTGAAATGACCTTTGCGCATCTCAAGGCTTTTGGAATATACACAAAGTAGTGCTCCAGTAACTGTCAAAGAGCACTCCACGGATGGAATACTCAGAATGCGGTCCGGTTCGGCCCGGCTCTCTTGCCTTCAATCCGTCGGCCAGCCCGACCTCCTCAAATTTCTGAGTCCAATCCAATCCGGTCAGGCTCAGCAAAAATTTTCTTCAAAATAAGCCCCAAGCCGTATTCAAGTTCGTGCTATGTGTAGATGAGCAGACTAATATCGCATACGGCTTCATAGTTAACTCAGTGGCATCATCAAAACACTAAAAGCAAAACATCAAGCGGAACATCAGTGGCAGTTTGACATCTTGTGACATCTAACAGAGCTGTTGTGAAAACGCATGTGCAAGCTCTAAGGTACCAAATGCCAGCGTTTTAATGTCATAAGATGTATGCCTTGAAGGGGATGTTTCAAATTTGAAGATGTATAGTGGTATACTTTTAAGTGAAAAAGGCTGCTATAGACAACATAAGGTCCCATTTATTACATATGTTTCTGAATACGTCATTGATGCGTTATCGTACGTCGCACAATATATTGAGAGCCGTTAGACGGCCGTTATGTCTGGAAATCGTCCTCACGAACGTCAGATATGAGCGACTCGACAGTTATATTTTTCATGGCCTTGATTCCCGTATGACCAATGCAATGGCAATATTTGAATGGCATTATGGCGTCATGGATGCCTGGGTGACCTGGAATAATCCGCACGAAATAGTCTGCGGATCTTCGCGGATGTGTAGCGCATAAACTAGAGGGGCTTAGGCCAAAGAACGCAAGGCTGTGGATAACACCAAATTATTTTCAACATCACTGTTTCAATTCAGAACCCCAAACAAATGTGGAACACTCCCCTTAACGGTATATGCCTTAAGGCTTCCGATGTCCCCTCTAGCCCATTCCCTCCACTCCTGTTGCTCGTTCAGTTCTTGATATAGCCGGACGAGCTATATCTTCGCCTTGTTGACCTGACATGGCATACCACAGGTTACATGTATCCATATCTACTAGCGCCTGTCCGATAGAGCTTCCAATATCTACTTAACATCGTCTTCTGCGATGCCGTAACACGCTGCAATCTCAACTCACAAGGACGTATTCAGGAACATATGTACTAACGACAGGGGTGTATTAAGCTTTAATTTGAACAGCTTGACCAGGTTTGGCCTGTTTCAGGTCACATTCATTATTGTTCCGATGCATCCATTCAATGCAGCTTGAAGAGGACTTTTCAATGTCGTTTTCCGAGTGACTTCGGTTTGCATAATTGTGATATCTAAGCGGGAGGGGTGACGCTCAGCCCCCCGTAGGCCGGGATGTATAAGCACCAGTAGTGCGGGGGTTGACGATATGTGTGGTACAAGCAAGCCTAATGTCAAGTTTGACGCTAGAAGCTGCCATAAACATTGAAAGGTGACTTTGTAGGAAGTTTCGTCACATTCTGAGGATGCAATTAGCACCGTCTTTGGCAGCGGCGGAGCCGCCGCAGAGCCGGCAGCTGCAGAGGCTGGCAGCCGACTGTGACGGGGCTCAGCTGCGGAGGTTGATGGCGGAGATGCCACGGAGCCGGCAGCTGCAGAGGCTGGCAGCCGACTGTGACGGGGCTCAGCTGCGGAGGTTGATGGCGGAGCTGCCACGGAGCCGGCAGCTGCAGAGGCCGGCGGCCGACTCAGCAGGAACCCGTAGCCACACACTGCCGGATGTTCCCACTTTATGCTTCTAGGCCTTGCGAATCTGGAGTTATGATCCTTACCCGAACATGTGAAAAATTGTGGTTGACGTAACGGTTTAAAGCACGTGAGATGCTGGATTTATCAGCGGGTGTGCGGATGGATCCGCGTGGCCTATTGGGCCGGATGAGAAAATTTGGGCAGCACATAGATCAAGGAAGGGCAGAATTTCAGGCTTTATCAAGCATCATGAACTAACAGCGTTTAACATCAATAAAGTTTCCAAAGACACCAACGGAAATTGCAACAATCAAAGCAACGATTTAATGGTTTCTTTGACTTCTTCCCTGCTATTCTCCCCAAAAAATATTTCCAATTTATTCAGCATGGTGTACAGTATACAGTGCTTTTTACCGAAGACCAAAGTGACCTCATCGGGTTAGAACAACTGATTCCGAACGTGGCCGTCATGAAATAGCTTATTTGTTGTACCAGGTGGAAAAGCGGTGTAGAAGTGCCACATCTACACGCTTATGACAGGCTAGCGCTGGTCCATCCCGGCCACAGCACCGGATACCAGAAAAAAAAACGTTGCTCTTTGAAATTAAGCTTGGATGGTAAATTTCCATTCATGCGCACGTCTGCTGGTTAGCTTTTAAAGCTGTCTTCTCCAGAGACGTGCATCAGGGGGGGGGGGGGATGTTTGTGACTGGGTCTCAATATATGCCGTCGTGCTCGGGCTTTGTGTTCGTCCTCTATGGAAAGGCGCGCTGCGGTGCAAACGACATTGCAGCCTTTTCTGTCTCATCATACGACATTGCAGCTAGTGAGAGGAACAGGCGGTGGTGATCACCTGCACGCCCGCGAGAGCCTGCAACGACTTTGCATCTGCAAGCGCCGCGCGTACAGACACGACGCACTTTGCTATTGTCAGCGGCCTCGCAGTGGGTGGTCCTGATCAAGGAGACACGTTATTAAATGGGACCGCGCCTCTGCCGTGTCAGAGTACACGGCGCCGTGCACCGCTGTGGTCTGTATCTGTCGGTATGCATCCGCTGTTCGCTCGCTCCATTGTCTGTTCTTACCGCCCGAACCTCGTGGCGCTGTCGGCAGCGGCCTTGGCGTGCCTGTCGCCGCACGCGCCGCCGGCGGCGCCGGGCTCGTTCTATATTCCCAATCGCTGCGGGTGCAGGGCTCCCGCCACCCGCAGCCCGTGCAGGTGACCACTAGAGCTGCCATTTTTTGGGACGGTGAAAACCTGCTCCGCCCGCTGCCCACATCTGATAATTCGCATCCGACCCGAAAAGAAACTCCAGAGCAAGCTCATTTTAACTCGTGAGCCTGATTGTAATGTGTTGACCTATGTTATATTATGCGCAGTATGTGAACCAACTCATGCATGATGCATTCAAATATATTCATTAACATTCTGGACAGCGAAAAGAGTCCAAATCATTTGAATGGATGGATTTGTGCAATCAGAAACGACGCACGCTATGCTTATTTCTAGACCGCTGGCTCCCCTTTTTCCGATCGCGGAATTTCAGGTCGACGGCAGGATTTAATGAAGGAATTCTGTCGCGCCGCAAAGCTCGGCATGACGAGTCCTGCCCTTCTTCACCACTCGACGTTAAGCCAGGCAGCTGTCACCGGCCGCAGGCCATTCCCGTCAAAATTAGTGAGCACTTCAGGCGACTGAAACTGACCCGCTACAGGTGGGTGGATCCGAAGGCAGGCGCTTTAACCAACTGAGCTATCAGAACAGAAAAACACCCATATGCCTTTTCTGAGAGGATGTATTAGAAAAAAAAAACACTTTGGAGAAACAGCACCCAGGGGGTTTGGGTTTCCGCCAAAATGCAAAATATCAAATTCCAGAGGCTCTGCAATTAGTGGTGCTTGGTAAACAGGACATATTTCAGTATGTTTAGTAGGGAAGCACATGCGATGTGTAGCAAGGACGCAACCATGTAACCCTGTGATGAAGTGGGGGGGGGGGGCGGGAGCCAGAAGGACATGCTTCCTGAGGCGAGATGCTTTTACGAGATTCTCGGCGATTTTAGGAACTCAGAAAAGCTTTGACTTCCTCTTGAGTAAACCTACGGATATGCTTTCTTCCCAGTCGCTCGAACTGCATACCCGTTGGTGATTCCTACGACTAGTCATCAGCCTAGTTTTTTTTGTATTTTGCACTGTTTAGTGTGTGAAGTGAATGCTGGCTGACAAATCTGAAAAACACTGATCTGAGAGGCACTGGAAAAGCAGTAGTAATGACGTCATACCTCTAGTCGTTGACTTGTGCACTCCCTCGTATCCTGCGATGGCTACCATGCTACTAAATCAAATCCTTATCTCTGCGTCAAATGCTGTGCTTAAAAAGCTATTTCTCTCACCCCACTTAGCCTTTTAGCCTTAGATAGAATCCCGCTATCTCAGTTCAAATCTCATTATTGAGGTGCACAGCCACCCTTAAAGTCATATGCGGAAAAAAATATACCCTTACTAGCGACCCGCTAGGGTATTACTTAAACTTACAGATGAAAGAAACCTTGCAGCGTGCTATTTTTGGCAGAAAGGTGTCGACGTTAACAAATGTTTTGTGTGCATGAGCGAAGCCCAGCGAAAAGTCAACACCTCAACAAAGGCTTAAGCCACCGGTAGGGTCCCCACCAAAGAAGTCTGTTGTTTGTTCTCAATAAAGGATTTCGTGAACGTCGCCACATCTGTTTCATGGAGCACCAGCGACCGTAGTGGCCATATTAATGCGCAGTGGCCAAGACGCAACCGGGGTTCGAACCCAGGTTCCCGGCGTGGGGGCCAACAGACCTATTGACAAAGCATCGCATCATCACTTAGTGGAATATATCCAAGTATGAGTGGCGCGCGGAGGCGAAACAAGGATCGTAAGATCTTGGCGGACGTTTGGGGGCCGGGGGCAAA